GTAACCTCCTCGGCTAAGGATGCACCTAGGTTGAGTACCATGCCCAACGCATACTTAAATCGGAACCATCCTCGGCCGATCACTCTGACGCATACTCGCGCCTTAAGGTTTCCCTCCCGAGTAACCTCCTCGGCTAAGGATGCACCTAGGCCGAGTACCTTTCCCAACGCACACTTAACCCGAGCATTCCTCGGCCAATCACTCCGAAGCGTACCCGCGCTCTTCAGGTTTCCCTCCCGAGTAACCTCCTCGGCTAAGGATGCGCCTAGACCGAGTACCGTGCACAACGCGCACCGAACAAACTATGGCCAACCTCTCAACGATTCACGCAAGCCTGACACGCACAAATCGAAACCGAGCGTTCTCCAGCCAAGCAACCCTTAGTCACTCATACGTAACCCACCGCTCACACTCAGGTCGAACACTCTTGCCACAAGTTCAAACCAAACACATGAAAACCGTACACTCGCATACACGAATACACCACACACCAATCATTGACGAAATCGCAAAATTAGCCCCTCAGCCACATCGAAGTCGGTTGATTTTAACTTAGGCATTTAAAAACACGATGAGTAAGCAAAAGAAATTTCATTAATGATGGCCGATTAAAACGGCTACTTACAAAAAACAATGAGTCAGGTTTATGCACCGACACCAAAGGCCGAGCTTACAAAACGCGCTGACGGCCCAATTACAAAAAATAAAATCCTACGACCAAGGCCGATCCTCATGCGGCTGCTGAGTCCACCGGATCCCCATCACCAACAACGTCAATAACCGGGTCCTCCTCCTCAGTCGGCTGTACGGGAGGTTGGGTTGAAATGCCTCGGCATGGAGCCTCAGCATCAGGCTCGGCCCCTTGAGGGAATTCAGCATAACTCAGAAACCTTCCACCCAAGAAGTCTCGGCTAACATCAAACTGGAAATCGGCCGGGACCTCACAGAAGTGGTAGGCCTGCCGCACTGCGTGTTGAAAGCCGACATCATGCTGTGGAAGGATCTGCTCAGTCGCCTCGGCCTCAAATTTGGTGGCCGCCTCCTTCAGCCGAGCAATTTCACTCTCATATTTGGAGGCTTCGGCCTTCAACCTCTGAAAGACTAACTTCAAGTCATCAGCCTCCCTCCTATGGGCGTTGGAGACCCTCTTCAGCTCTTCGGCCGACTCAGTTAGCTTAGCGTTGGCCCCCAACGCCTCCTTCACCATGGCCTCGGCCTCCTTGAGCCGGCCATGAAACCTTTCCTCGGAGACAGCATGTCGCATCATGACATGCTTGGCGACCAAGGAGGTCCGAGTATCAAGCTCACAGAAGAGCTTGTACGCGGCCTCGGCGGACATACCCTCCAAGTATTGCAGCCCCCCTTCGGTAGCAAGATCCAAACTGACCAAGTTCTCGGTCTGCACGTTGGGGGCTAGGAAGTTCGAGCCCGCCACCACAGCGGGAATAGCAAAAGTGCCGCACCCCGATTGCTCCAACGACAGTTGTTTAGGGCGCTTATGAGAAGAGCTCGGCCGCTCCGGCTCTATATTGTGCTCGGCCGCCCTCACTCGGGAGGTGCTTCCCTTCTTCTTGGGGTGGGCGACGGGAATCAGCACATGGGAAGGCTTATCCCGAGCCATCTTCAGAGCCAACCGTGCCGGGGGAACCTACCCACTAGCCTTTGCATCCTTCGCCCTTTACGCGAGCATAACGGTCACGTCTAGCTTACCTCTGGCCATTAAACCTGCAACGAAGGAAATCTTAACATCAATTTAAAAACTGATTAAGTAACTGAATCCTAGAACGCATACCTAGCAAGGCCATCTCAAAATGAGACATTTCAAAAATGTCCAAAAGGCCTCGGACAGGCAAGCCTTTCGGTAGCTGATCTAACAGGTCCACAATCTCCTTGTCCTCGGCAGGGAGTTTAGACGCGGACATCGCTTCGTAACGCGTCGGGCACTTCGTCCAATAAAAGGGAAATAGTGGGTCGCCTTCTCGGTCATAAAAGCAATTCTTCATCTCCGACCCCTAGCAAACCTTGAAGAACCCATTCTTAAACCCTTTGTAGGAAGAGGTGAAGGCTCGGAGAAATCCTCGCTTCGGCACCCGAGACAATGACACCCACTTCACCGGTTTGCTTGGGCGACTGGTATAGTAATAAAGGAAAGCCAGGGGTCGGGGAGTCAGACCCAAACACAAGCATAGATTCTGAAACGCCTGCATCGCGGCCCAGGCATTCGGGTGCAACTGAGTCGGCGCCACGTTGAGCACTCGGAGAACCCCCATTTGAAAATCGTCAAAGGGTAGTTGAACACCGAGGTCTACGAACCAGCACATGTAGGCGTAGAAGTAATCATCCTCATCGTCCCCTGACTCCAAAAACACGAAGTCAGTCTCCGGCCTGTCGTCCATGCATGCCTCGGCAAGTAGGGGAAACTGATCCTCCCCACTTCCGAAACAGTTCTCCAAAGAGACAAACGTGTCTAACAACCCCTAGTCAGACAACTTCGAAAGATAAATGCCGACCTCCCCGTCGACCCACTCTTAACCAGGCATCTCCACAGTTCCATAGTCGATCCGTGCCCTTACCCGAGTACTCGGTCCGACAGCTCTCTTGTCTCGTGCATCGCTGGCCACCTCCAGTTCGTCCCTGCTTATATCAACTTGCAACGCTTGCGGGTCCGGCTGACCGACTCGACCTAGGCCTCGGGGGGGGCCCTCGGTTGCCCGTGCCAAGGCCCCGACCAAGGTCGCCGGAGGCGATACCTCGACCACCTCATCCCCGCTGTCCTCTTGTTCGGGGTGGTCAGAAGGGAAGACAACTTCGCACTGTGTAACAGCCCAAGCAACCCGCATGTAGATATTGTCCGCTTTGGCCCACGGCCTCACGGATTTGTTTCTGGCAATGGCACGCATGCCACCCCAAAACGCGTCTACACAAGGAAGGTATCCACACCCATATATATGGCATGCTTCGTTCTCCTTCCTAACCGATGTGGGACTATATCCACCCCCCCTCAAGGGAGTCCAGCGCCCTCGCTGGCACACCGGCCCGGGAACCGGCTCTGATACCAATGTAACAGCCCAAG